AAGGAACATATTTCTTGGTATGTAACCAGGCAGGTCACTGATCTATTGAAATGACAACACAGACATTTGAGAGAACATACAACAGATTCTCATTATTTACTACAAATATATAAAACCTGAAGTGAAATCAAATTGAATAACTTGACTACATGGAAGTTATGAAACAGTTCGTACTTTATACACAGCGTATGTACACTGGTTTTGGAAATGTGGGTTTTATCCATGCAAATTTAATACAAAACACTATTTACAAAAAAGTAAGAGTAAGAACATTTTTTCAAAAGAAACATGTATGTTGGAAGCTCCAGCAATAATGGAAATCCTGAAAAAAAGGCTTAATACAGTATAGTACAAGTAGACAATCTTCAGAAGTGTGGAAGATGCACTTTACAAGAACATGAAATGCAAAACAAATCGAAATGCACTATCAAAAATTTTCCAAGTATATACACAATTTGAGCATGTATTTTTAAATGATCACTCTCCAGCTGTGCCTCAGAACTTCTTCTGCCACGTCCTGCACACATTTACATATTGACCATTTGGTTACACTGCATTTTCCGAGTTTTATAACCACGAGTTACAAAGTAAAATAACTGAATACCAACTGAATGGTAACTGTAAATCGATCACATTTTCCTTGTTCTAGACATTATATAATAGTCAAAAGTATTCACATTATTCCCAATGTATTCCACCAAACAACCCTTTTGCAATACACCTCTGTATGCCCTTCCTGGGAATCCCAGCCTGCCATTACTGCTGGTGCCACAGCCAGGAATTCCCATGGCTGCAGCAATGCTTCATGTAACACATCCTTCCAGGAAACACAACTGGATCAACATCTGCATGTGAAGAGCACAGTCCTGCACATGCTCCAGGATGCACATCAGTACTGAACAGTTACTGGGAGTTCCCACGGCAGGTATGGCACAACCAGACCCTACACAAATATAGTCATTTGGGAAATACTTCACTGGTTCATTCATTTTAAAAATGGAACAGAGCAAAAAAGTATCCTTGTGGCATTTCTCAAGATTTTACCATCTGCCTCCATAAAATTATTGGGGGGAAAAAAGTTTGGTTTGCCTTATTTCACACAATTTTGGAAGAAGTGAGGAAATCCTCATCAGTGCCAAGAATTCACTTTAAATGACTGACTTAATGCTGTAGCTGAGTTATAAAACTATTTTTTGAGAGAAGTTCTGGTCTCATTGAAGTCTTACAATCACAGACTTGCCTAGGTTAGAAAAGACCTTTGAACCAATCAAGTTCAACTGCAAACTTAACACTGCCAAAATGAAAAGTTACCCAAAACTAAATTTGCTGTCAGTCTGAGCTATCCTTCTCCTTTAGAATCTGCTAAGATACTACAGTAATCGTGGGAAAACTTTTTGGTTTTTGCTTATTTGAAGAGTAGGATTCTCAAATGTTTTTGTAAAAAACACACTGAAATTCTTCTTTGAAAATGTAGTCAGCTATAAAACATTTGAACTAAAAATGCCTGATTGTAGGATTTTATGATAACTTGTATTCCTTCCATGCACCTTACAGCAATTCTGCCTCCCTTTGCCTCTCACACTAAAAAAAAAATAATAATCAAAACCAGTCAGGAAACAAATACTTCATACAACCACAATTTTAAGATGCTGTCAAATTGTACTATGTGAAATATTTAAAAGACAAATAAAGCAAATGGCAATTTATTATGTAAGAAACACAAGAGCCAGAACTGCTCCTGTGCAGTTTTAAACTAAAATTCAGTTAATCACATATATTCTCTCTTTTAATAGTGAAGATCAGCGGAAACTTTCTTCACAGGAAGGGAATAATTTATCTTCACATTTATTTCACAAAACGAATCCGTACCATAAAATTCCTCATTAAAAACACACACTCCACCTTTCCCTCTGTAAATGAATTACACATATCCCGGTGTGCTGAGTATGGAACAAACCCAGTAACTCTGTTTTCATTCCCTCACATGAGAGCACAACGTGAGTTATGTCCTTGGCCAACTTTGCCTTTCCCATTCCTGGTCTGAATGAACTCTTTTTGTTTTAATCCCAGTTTTGGTGTGTTGGGGTGGTGTTCTGTTTGCTTTTGCTTTTCAAGTAAGAGATCCTCATCAAAGAAACACAGACATTACCCTCATTTATTGAGGAAGCAGAGAGATTTCATTTGCCAATACAAAACCACATCTCCTGTCTGCAGGAAGTGCCACAAACACCCTCAGGTTGCTTTCTGTTGAAATCAGTTGGATCAGCTCCCTTTCAAACAAGCATTTAAGGAACCAGCAGAAGGAAGAAGTGCCAGACCTTCTTGCTTCTCTTCAATACCAAGACACATGGAAGTTCTGTTCTAGTGAAAACAGATGTGTCCAGTTTTGTTTGAATTTGGTGACAGATTTATGCCAAAAATCTGAGGAAACTGCCACTAAATGATATTTGAAGTAAAGTTTTTAGTGCAGTGAGGACAACTGATGGTTGTCCTCACCTACAATTTTACCAAGGTAACACAGTTTCCCACTGTATGAAAGCTTTGATTCAATGTAATTTTTCCTATCATCTAAGTACTGTATTTGGCATACCAGAAAATTTGTATTAAAGAAAATAAATCAGTGTAACATTTTACAGATTCCTTCGACTTACCAGACATCACTATTTTTAGTTAAGAATTTGACACTGAAGTTTGCTCGTGTCAAACAAGTTTAAGCCATGTTTGCTATGGGCTCCAGCTCAGGTGTTCCATAAATGAAAAAGGTGAAAGTCTTTACTGAGGTCAAGGCTAAAAGTTGCCTTGAGTTCAGTAAGGCTAGGATTTAAAAAAAAAAAATAATTCTTATGACTCATGTCATAGTTATTTATTGTTTCAAATTAATTCCTCCATATTTATGATCATAGTTCTTGGCTAGATTTTGGAAGGCCACCAGATAGGTGGGTATGGATGGTTTCCTGCACCCCCAGCAGTGCCCCAGTTGGGACACTGGAGCAGCAGTGCCAGAGAATAGATGGGAAACATCTCTGACATACTGTGTGGGAAGTCACCCACTTCACAACAACAAATGTCACTGCTTTAAGATCTCACCATATCTGGGACATTATTGCTTAAATGAAAGATCATTCACATGTGACATACTGCATCCAGTGACATAAAACACAGACAAAATACACCAGGCCAGAAGCCCTGTCACTGTGTTGATTCACTCTCTAATTTACAGTTCATACCACATTATTGCAGTAGCTTTGAGGAGCATTCACAATAACAAAAGCACCCTGGTTGACTCTTAAATTTATCAGGAAAACTTAAGGCAGCTTCCTGAAGCTTTTAATGTTGACTCTTCTTCATGTCCTAAGTAAAAACTGAGCAACTGCAACAGGAACCGAGGAGGCCTCTGGTTTTAAGAATCCTATCAGCTGTAGCAGGTATTAGTAATGGCATCACATCCTAAACAAAACACCTCAAACATTGTAAATGTTTGGAGCAGGGATTCTGCAACTACAGTAGTTCACCAGTGCCACTGGAGCAATTTCTTCAAAAACATAAGGAGGAAGGAGGAAAGTGGCTGGCATGCTACACTGAGAGAATTCTTAACGTTTACACTGTGGTGTAACTTTATAAAATTAGCTCAGGAAAGAAAAAAAGCTATTTTAAGATCAGAAAACTTATTTAAATGTGACAATGAAATAGTGGAGATCAGTTAAAGACGGATAACTGACAGTGATAATTTATAGTTCTCAATTCTATGGCTCACACAACTAGAACTTTGCTCTGGTATCAGTAACAACAATGAAACAAAAGACAGGAACTTACTCTTTTTGAATGGCTGGGTTCTTCAAATGGAGCAGGCAAGCATTTTGCTTAGTGAATTATATTACTTTTTAGTTTTATTTTTTGCATGACTTTTTAGATACTGCCTTTAACGAAATCAGAGATTGAAGCTGTTAAAATGAGTATTAAGGCATGATTCAAAGACCAGCTAAGAGAGATTTGAAATACCATATTTCAAAGGCCAAAGCAATCCAGTTTCCTTAAACACATATTTATCTAACCTAAGATTTACACCTAGGACTTTGCAAATTGACTTATACACCAGCCTCTCCATGAGCTGTATTTTAAGAAAACCCTATATAAACAATAGTGGTTTTTAACTATTACACATACACCAGTTTGTTTTAATGGATTTAAAAATAAGTTGAGTTTTTTTTTAAACTTGTCATCAGAAAAAGGTTCTTTTTCCTGTCAGCTATTGACTTTAGGGACTACAGTAGAAGGACTACACAATACTCCTCCATCATTCTTTTATGAATAGTATTACACAGGGTCTTGATCAATTGGAAAGAACAGAATCAAATCTTGTTAAGTGCTTGGCAAACACATCCCTCAATCGAAAATAATCAAATATATAATTGAAAATAGAAAATAATAATTGAAATAGAATATAATAATAGAAAATAGAAAATCTGTGACAGTCAAAACATTTTTTTTTAATTGAGCTACCTGTTCATGAAGAACAAACTAACACAAACAGATTTCCTATTAAATTTATGGAATTATTTGCAATTTGGTTAGAGAAGATCTCAACTGTGCATGGTTTCAGAATGTTCTCAAAACACCAAGAATTTGTGCAGAAGCAAACAAACACATAAACTCAGAAGTTTCGAAAAACCACCACAGTGGAAATTGTTCTTTTTCACATTTATGCAGAAAAATCTCATGTCTCAGCACAGTGACATTTCTACAAACTGACCAGAGTGCTGTGCCACACTCGTGTAAAATTACACAAGAAACCCAGTAAACACTAAAGAGAAACACTGATACTTCCCAACTAAATTATGGATATACCTGTTGTAAAAATGTAATGTGAGATCAGGAGCAATATTACACAACATCCTGAACATCACAGCGTAAACCTGAGATTTTGGCAGTTTTATCAAAATGTCCTAAATTACTCTGTATGAATCACTAGTCCTCATGTCTTATTCATTGTATTTGTTTGTCCCAAACAAAGAAAAGTAGACAGCTTTTTTTTTTTTGTCCAACAATACGTTAAACCAAAAGTAATTAGGTATTATCAAATTAAATATCATAAATAAAAAGTATTTACAGTATTTTCTAATTATTAGACAACAAATAACCAAGTAAATTGTGCAACAAACTTAAAACACCCAACATCAAAAATGTGAAGTATTACTTCAATCTTCACATACTGATTTTACAAAAAAACTATTAAAATATTAAAAAATTTCCATTTCATCTATTTTAAACAAGGAAATTTCAAAAATGTTTAAGACTATTAAGAATTATCAATTACACAGGCACTTCACATGTAAACAATCTACAGTACAACTGAAAAAAAAATATTTGGCACCAACCTAGAAGACTGGAAAAACTCAATGAAACGTGTCCTTTTCCCATTGTCTACTGCTTTGTGTAATCACCAGACACTCAGACTCAATACTGGCAATGTTAGAAGTGCGTAAGTTACAATCAGGAGTGCAAAAAATAAAGAACGCAAATATTAAGCTTTCAGAGAGTGAAAGGGGATTACAAGTGATCAGTTGCTCATTTTTACCATCACACCATCGCTACATTTTTGTCTTACCTTTAAATCAAATGATTGACTCGAGAGATTAAAGTGACGGGGGGTGTGCTTTGTACTTCTCAAATAATTCAAACATTTGCGATGTAAAAACAGGAATCCAGTATTTAACTGTAACACTGAGATGTCAAATGGCAGCTTTTAACTTAACTAGAAAGAGAACCTGGTGCTACCACAATCTCTTTGTACATCCAATTAGGAAAAAAAAAAAAGATTAATTATGGTCTTTCAACTGCGAACTGACTCCAAGGTTTTCACATACAGCTCCAGAGTAAGGCTCTCTACAGCATCTGGACAGATATTAGTTTTTGATGGCTTGGGTGTTCCCACATAGGAGGCTGAACTGCCTCAGAGCAATCCATAGCAACAGAGCAAACGGGAAGTTGTCGAGCTTCCAAGAAGTCACGTCACACAGAGGAGAGCTGAGATACTTTCAGTGCTGGCAACTCAAGCAGAGCTTGAACTGTGAGGCCAACCTTCACCAGACCCCTTTCCTCCAGAATGTGATGAGGCAGGCAAAGTCTCTCCTGCAAAATAACACAGTACATTTAATGAGTCACATCCATGTTTGCCCAAGGCTGTAACAAACACATTCTCTCTGAAGTCACACATCGCTTAAGAGGAAACGTCTTTGGCCTTAAATTTCGTATGTGGCTCTCTACAGTAACAGAATGGGCAGGAACTTGTTACAGTTAAGATCTGTGTAAACTATGAAAACCTCAGAAGATACATAAAAGACTGTTAGATTCAAAAAGTCAAAGGCTGTTTCTTTTCATAAGCAGCTCAATAAAAACAAGCTGATGGGTGCTGTTGGCTCAGTGGCCTTCTTCCCCCTTCCCTTGTTCCGTAGGCTTAATACAATTTTTTCCCTTGGGAAAAGCTGGAAGTGCTGATAGAGTCAATAATGATCCATTCTCCAAGAAAGTCATCTTTCAGTTTCAAAATTCAGCATAAGCTGGATAATTTTCCCAACTGCCAGCTGGTGTTACAAGTCATTTGGGAGGTAAATTTCCATCTCTAACTCGAATGGCCCATAACTCCATAGCAGACACCAGCTGTGGCAGAGCAGTAGCCCAGGCTTCTAAATCCATGAAATAATTTTCTTGTTGCACTAAGAAGGAATCAAGGGAGATTTTTGTTTCATGACACGCAGGAAATGGTTGAATCTTTAATTTTTTCCCCTCATACAAGGAGGTAAGAGGATGAACTTGGGCAATATAAGCACAAGTAATGGACTGCAACTATAAAAAAAAGACAGTCGATCAGATAGGCTACAGACTTCTGTAAGTGCAGGATATTTCCTGAAATTTGTGCAAAGTGAGTTGCTAAACTCAAGACTTTCAAATATTAAAACATCACCCTCTCACACCAGTTCTTTTGTTTAGGTAACAATTTATTTCACAAGGAGATCAGTGTTATTTTTATAGTGAGGAACTGACAGAAACCCAGGAAGTAGCTTCCTCAAGCTCATGCCATGGGCCAGAAGTGGAATTTCTGTTCATAGTTTCAAGTTCTCAGCTCAGTGCTATAACCACTACTGCTCCCTGAATAAAGTCCCCCAAAGCCCCCAACTTGAGCATTTGTTGACATTTCCCGTGGTTGTTAATAACTCAATAAAGCAATCAGTGTACCTGTGGAACGCCCAGTTTTTTACAAGCATCGAGAAAGTTTTCAACATTTCTTCGGCACTTTGCCATACTGAGCTTAGGCTGTAAAGACAGGATGTTAGATTTTCATCAGACATTTGTGAAGGACTGTATATTTCTGATGTAAATTCACTTGCAGTTGCTAAAACACATTCCGTGAAGACTCAGGATGTAAAAATAGCTCCGAAACTAAACATCTGAGCCTTGTTTAACGCTCATTCCAGTAAAACTGAAGAGGGGAGTTTAGCAAATTAATATGGTAATCATGATTCATGATGTTTTAGTATTGAAATTCAAAAGGCTTGTTTTCATGCAAGATGTAAGAGAAGTGAGATAAATGACCTACCACTGCTGGTGATGGGACGTGAATGCTGGCAACAGATCGTGGCCTTATGTGATTGGCTAAATGGCAAAGAACCACCCCATCCATCAACGCTGCTCCAATGTCATCTGGCAAAATCACCTTCAACCTTGACTCAAGGTTCTATAAAAAAAGGCCATAAGGAAGTTACTTTCAGCATTAGCTAATTTTTAATTTGAACTCCAGGGTATTTTAAAGTGTTTAGAAGTTTTAAAGGAACGTTTTAAGATGAAAGTAAATGGAGTCAATTTACACTTTACTGAGTATAAATATACTTTTCTCCTTATTACCTTTTGTTTTGCCAGGTTTTTCTCATTTTGCCTTTTTTTTTTTTAAATGACACAACAACATATACTGAGAAAGACATTCTACAAACAATGACCAGGATACACAGCTCTCAAACCCATAAAATGAACTCACTGTTTGTAACAGGAAAGCACAGAACTTTAAGGACAGAAATGTTATGCTGAATATGTCATCAGTGTGCAGAATCTGTGCACTGAAATCATACAGGATTTTATTAGGAGGAGGAAAAAAAAAGGAGGGGAACACAACTTTGGGAATGGCTATTTCCCTTGTACAGATGACAGTTAAATAGTGCAGTTTCCACTCTTGTGTTGCAAAATGGAGAAGGTAAACAACGACCTTCCCCACCCCAGCAAGACTTCACTTCTCAGGAAGTGAACCAGACAAACAGCAACATCCTTCACAGGAGTCACACTGCAAATAAGTGCTGAACTGCTACGATTCAGTTAACTATAACTGTTAAATATCTTGAGAACAGAACTACACGGAAAACTACTTATTGGAAATCTGGGATGTAGATCCCATTCAGTGTTGTGTAACTTGTAGCGACTTTCTACACTCAAAAAGCATTTGGCTATTCAGAAAACCATCATCATTTTTCTTCAAGTCTCAGGTCAAACAGCAGCAAACACAAGCAGACTTACTGTCTCCCTAAAAAAAGCTAAAACCTCAGAGAGCCAAGAAAATAAATCATTTTTTGTTTTGCTTCGTTTCTTAGCTAAAAAAAAAAATAAATAAATAAACAAATAAATAAATAAATTTAGTTCCAGATTGGCATTTTGGTTGGACCCAAATTAGTACCCCTGCAGGCTGTTACATGAAACTCCTTAGAAAGAAATGCCAGTGTGGTAGAGAGCAAACTAAATGCACTGCAGCCATCCAGTAAAACATGGTACATACATTGCGAAGCTGTCTGATTTGTTCCCTCTCTTCCCTCAAATGTTCCATTTTCCTCCTCATTGTAAATCCAGGATCCACGGCTCCATAGTCCTGGCGTGAGGCACGGCTGAAAGCTGAGCAACATTATTAGGGAAGTTAGTTACCAGAATTCAGAATCAAAACACTCAGTTATTAAAAATCTATAACCGAGGATAAAAACTGCAGAACTTTTAAGAATGTTTTTAAACACCCCGATAGGAAAGATAATATGAAATGTCTAATAAAATGCAGAGATCATCTTATGTGTAAATGGATAATTAGAAAATATGGAGACAGAATTAATTTAAATATTGAAGTATGAGTTTGAGATATATAACTCCATTTGCATTTCTTCAATCTAGCTTTGAAAGTATTTTTACTGTGTTTTACTTTTAATGAAGTATAAAGTCATTAATGAGTCTAAAAACAGAACTCCCTGATATAATTTAAAATTAAAGACTTAAAACATATACACACACACATATGTGCATGTGTTAGGTGTGCATATGCAGAAACAGAGTGATCACTTGTTAAAGAACTAATTGAAAAATACGAAATGTCTCATCTAAAAGTTCAGAGTTTTTTCTTTAAAAAGAAGGTCTGTCAAATAATGACATTCACTTTACTACTCTTCGTGGTCAGAAAGCCTTCAAATGACTATTATTTTGTAGGATCCTGACAAATACAAACTCTTCTGTTGCAATACTTCTGTATCCTTAAGTAGTTTATGCCATGCTTTTGAGAAAAAAAAAAAATTCAAAACTTGAGAACTTTCTATGTTGTTTTTAATAGTCTGGATTTTAGCAAGAGATCTAAGAATCAAAAATACAAACTGTACAACTGTAACTGGGAGATGGGAGAAATTGTAGTATTTCTACTTAGATTTCAGAGGACTGACAGCCTGCTTTAGACAATACAACTTGCTTATGAGGGTATGGCTGAGTCTTGGAAGACTCAGGGTACAACAAAGCACATAAAACTACTGCCAGAGCTCTGCTCAAGGCACCCTTTCACAGGAGAAATTATAAAAATATTCTACTTTTGAAACCTGCTTCAGCCACCAGATCTCAAGAACAATTGTATGCTGTTTCCCTGTTCTTTGACAGGAGTAAATATGCAGAAAATAAAGCAGTGGGAGAAAAAAAAATAAAAAAGAGATTAAAAAAATCATTGTGCAACTTGAGGATCTTCCCATTATTCATCTGCCAAAGCAGCTGTCTGTGCCTTTCCCAGTACTATGCAGTGATGAGCACACTGAGGGAATTCCTGTACTGTGACATCTCCCATCCTTACTGTCCACTGCAGCCTGGGAAATAAACTTCTGCTCTACCACACTGTGTTGGAGAACAACAGCTTACCTGACCTTGGTTTGAGACCAAATGGACCATGAGTGTTACTATCTGTCCTTTCATAATCCTGTTAAAAGAGAGAAAGTCAATTTTCATTCAATCATTAAAAGAATTAACTTTTGTTCCCATGAAGATACTGTTTAAATTATTCTTGCCTAAGGAGAGTCCTTCTGCTTAACTGTAGTACAGTCTTTTGGAAGGGACAGTATAAAATAAACAGAATGAAAGTAACCACTCTACATGCAGATAAAATTCTCATTATGAGGAAGAAAAGCAGCACCAACTACCTAAAACTACTGCAAATTATTTCAAATTACTGTAAACCATTCTGTGAACAGAGTTCTAAGCCAGCTGTAAGCAGATGCAAATATTCCCCCAGTGCTTAGCACCAAAACATTTCTCAAGAAATATCTACTTCCAACTATGAAGATCAGGTTTTTCTCATTTCACCATCTAAAGAGAGAGATCCACTCAACATTTTGGTATGTACATGAGACATCCTTATTTCAACTCATTTCACTGTATTTGGAGATGTTCTAATTCTGCTCCCTCAGGCTCCTTATGAACATAAGGTGGAAATGTTAACAATATTTTCTTTATTTTGAGCTCAGCACTGCAGTGCTGTCCCAGTGAGACTCCTTGGACAGCAACCCACAATTGTAAAGGATGGGACTCCTTGACAGGTGTCAGTGCCTTTGGGTTCCCAGTGATACATAAAGTATTAAACCACAAGTTTTACTTTAAATCCTCTCAATGACTAGTGCATAGGGAACACCTAAAAAACATGGCAAACTTGATTTTTGTTTCATCAGCTATTTTCATTAGGAAAGATAATGGAGACAAAGCAAAGCACCTTTCCTCACACCAAAAAGAAGAGCCCTAGGAGAGATCAGAGAGTTGCAAAGATAAAACAAGTTGCAATATCTGTCTCTGGTTGATCTGGTTTTGAATTTTTATTATGATGAAATACTTCTAATTGTAGTTTCAAAGGGAACAGCTTTATATCTGCGTGAAAAACCTGGTGACAGCAATGCACACAAAGAAATGTTTGTTGAATGAAAAACAAAACCACAAACTTGTACCTCAGACGACACAGGAGACTGTGGGGACACATTAGTATTATCACTGTCTTGCTAAAAAGAAATCAAAGAGATGAAATTATAAAAATGAAAACGATGATTTAACAAGAAACATGAAATTATGAAATACATGAGACATGTAACATTTGCCAAGTATGCTACAAACTGGCAGCAACTAAATTTTAAAACATGTAAGCCAAGGAAACACTGTTTACATCAAATATTTTACATTACCTCTGCTTGACAGGTGAACTAACTTTGCTATTACCAAAGCAGGCTAATGTCCCACTGTTTCCCAGTAGACAACCTCGAGGGTTTTTTTCAAACAAAGGAGTATAATACTTATTTTTGCTATGGCTTTGGAATGCAAAGTTAATTGGTTCAAAAAAGACAAGTGAAGAAATCTTTTCTTAATACTTCACACAATTACTACATCTCACCTCATCATTTTCATTTCCACTTGAACTCTTTCTGGAAGACTTATACTGCAAAACACACACAATTTATTACTTCAAAATGGAAGTATGGCTTTCATTTGAACTAAATTGGTATTGCTCAGATGTTACTTATTACTCATGAAGCTGCTGAGAAAAAAAAGCCATGTTACAGAATCAGAGGAGCAACAAAGAAACCAACCAGAACAGGAACATGAAGTTCCTAGGCTAGACAAGATCTTCATTCTGTTGAAGAGACAAGAGCATTTGAAAAGTAAATACCTTTATAGTGTGAACTCTGCATATGACAGCTGATCCAAGTGAAAAGGTCTTAACAAATGCTAATGTGGTTAAGAAGCATTAATTCTTAGAAAAAATTATGCAAGCTATGAAACTTACTTTCATAATATGTTTTGTTAAAAGAGGCTTCAAAGACTGCTTATAGTTTGAGATTGAGTTGACATGGCAAAAAATTAAATAAAAAAAAATTATCTTTACAACTTCAAAACTGGTCACATCCTTTTATCTATTCAAGACAATACTTTTCCCACAGGTCTGTCTGATTTGTTGTGCACAGCCTTCATCACTGTCCCACTTCCCTACTTTATGCTAAAAATGTAGGAAATGAAGGAGGGATTGAAGGAAGACATTTACAAAAGCAGAATTTAAGAAAATAAGTGTATTTCATTGTCTGCAGAGCAAGTGTACAAAAAAAGAGGGAAGAACTCATGCAGATAGAATTAAAAAGATCATCAGAAAAAAACTCTGTGTTGAGAGTATATGGCCAGCCCACTCCTCCTCATGGTTTAACATGTAGCAAGGATCCAAAACAACTACAAACTAGTCCATAAAAAAAAAAGGCATTTTGGTTAATAAAGTATGTCTTCAATCACAGGATTCTTTTTACATATTTAATTAAACATAGATTTCAGGTTACTTCAGTGCAATGCCACAAAAAAAGGATTTCTGATTCTCAGGGGCATTTTTCATGCCCTTCTGCTGCACAGTAAAAATACAGAATATGCATAATAAAGATGCTCTATAAATACATCTATATGCTGATCCAACTCAGTTTTCCTTGCTCTAGTGACACCCACTGCAGTAATTTGGCATGTATTCTTAAGATATTAGTGTTTGGCACTACAGATATGATTATTCAATCAACTTTTTTGCCATGAAAACATGGACACAATATGAACTGTGTTGTCACTGGTTTCTCAGAACAGCAGTGGTTCTTATTTTTTCCCAGTTTGCCATGGAAGACAGACTCTGTTTCACTTGCTTATTGCCTTGGTTTTGCAAATGAAACTATGAGTGATACAGTATATTTTGTTACTGGTACAGCCTGTTTAATTCACTTTTGAGACATGTCTATAGCTGTATGTAATGTGATTTCAGGCATCTGCTTCCTTCACAGAGCTCAAAACTGACTGGCATTTAAAGACACCCTTGTAAGTTAAGAGGAAGCACTTCTGTATTGGTAGCACAGCTGCTGAACAAGTCCAATGACTGAATTCTGTTTTACTTAGAAATTTCTCTGCCTCTCCTTAAAGGCTGTAGTGCAAAATTAATTTCAGGATGAAAACCCTGGAAAGAGGATACAGCTCCATAAACTCTTTAGAAAAAAAAAAAAAAAGAAAAAGCTTCTGTAATCACAACAATGTATCTAAGCTGTATGGCTCGCTCTGTTCTCCCAAGAATTTAATTTCTTTGAAGTTCCCTGGCATTTCACAAAGATATTTGATGGCAAAGACCCAAGAAACTGATTTCATAAGTGGCAAATTTAATTTTAACTCAACCTAGCACTGCTCAGAAATCTCCTGTTTCTCTACATACCCCAAAATAAATGTTACCCAACGCTTCTCCAGCTTCCCCTCTGTGCTGCAGTGAGCAGACACTGGCACCTGGTGACCGAGGGTGGAAACTACAGCAGCAAAGGAGTACAGAGAATATTCCCCTTCTGAAATTCAAACTAACACCATGAGAACCAGAAGACATAAATCATTCTTATAACCACGTTGCAAAAAAAAAAAAAAAAAAAGCAATGTGTATTTTCCTTGCACTAAAAATAGATAAATGGATAAATAAATAGATAGATAAATAGAAATTCCTCCAAATAGGCAGTGAAGGACCAATGACAAGATTAGTTTCTGGTTTTATCAGAAGACAGCTGTGAATTAGTTTCTTTTATTTAAAGGATAAACAAATTCTCTGGTCAATTTGTTCTCCCTCTTGATTTTCCTGCATTCTCAATACATACATAAACATATTAAATCAAAAGAGTAAAATAAAAAAATTTATGTTACAGGCAAATTTAAAAGCATCGTAACCTTGGAGGATTTATCTTTACTTAGATATCTTTACTAGTTTCTTCTACTCTTATAAAAAAATGTGGCACCCACCCTCACTCCCCCCCATTACCTTGAAATATTCTTTTCTAATTTGTTTACTTCTCCTTCTTTCTTCATTCTGCCAGATCACTGGCTGTGTTTCTGGCCAATGCTGTTCATTCACTGAATCCTTCTGGTTTTCCAGTGGCTATAATGGTCAGAAATATTTTTATGTAAAAGGTAAATATACCTCTTGTGCATTAGCACAAACGATTATGAACTACAACTATTAATTGTTTGCCTCTCTCAATCCAACTTTATGACCTGAACAGGTGCCCAGTCTTCATGGTGACTCTGGTAGAAATTTCCTTTCAAATTCCAAAATATACTTCATGGAAGAAAAAGACTCTATGAAATAATTCCTCAGAAAATGACACACTTTTCTGCATTGAGACTCATTTTTGGAGGTAGGTTAGGAAGGCACCTAAGGCTGCCAAAAATAAACAAGTTTCCAGTGTGGTTAGCCACTAGCACACCTAACTTCTCCATGTGAATGCTCATTGCACTGAAAAAGGACAGCTACAAGACAATTTGAGTATCTGTCAGCTGTTCCTGCCTAAAACATTATACACCTCAACAAGCTGTAAAAAATCTCTCTTTCCAAGTACTGTGTTATGCAAATATACCGAGGAGACAGTTAAAGTAGATGAATTATTAAAATAATAATGAATATATATGACTGTCTACTTTATGAAAACTGAAAGCAGACAATCTGAGCAGACAGTTTCATAAGGCTAAAACAACTTTTTCAACTGTTTCTTATTGGAATATGAAGGCATTTAAAGCCATTGTAAATAACTGATAGATTAAAACCTAAAATAATAAAAAAGTACTCTCTACAGCTTAACTGGAATTTTATCATATCATGCAAGCTTCTCACTGAGGTATGGAGAATAAAAGGCCTACATAATTCAATCCATTTAGAATTTACATTATAAACCAAACTGAACATTATGGTGAGGCAATACATGCATGTGGGAAGAAATATTAAAACCAAGCAAAACTTATGTCTCATTAGTTTCAAGATCTTAAAGCTGGTACCATATTCTATTAAAACAAAAGGCCTCCATTACATACAAGTCAAATCATCTCGAGGCATAAGCTCTTCAAAGGTTTTTTATTTTCCACCATAATTAGACACCTTCAATAACTATTTGCATAAGCAACCATACAAATGTATGTAAGTTTTCTGTCATAAAGACAAAACCAAGCAAATAACAACCACAAAACCAAAAAAGCACTCAAATATAAAGCCAGCACATTTCCATTTGAGTATTTACCTGCCAGCTGTACGGGGACACTGGGGAATTCACTTCATTTGCTGAGACACTAAAAAGTAAGATGAGAGGCATTATGAAATGTTCTACTTTTTAAAACCACGTTACTTTAAAATATAAAAGAAAAAGTGAACACTTAAAAAGTAGCTTCAAAATGTGGCTTAAAAGCATGACCACTTGCCTAGAATCTCCAATCATATCTCACTCTCCTTTACCATGAGTTGACAATGGGCCTTACACACTACAGCACTTTAATTCACATGAAGCTGCTTCTTGAGGATGTTGATCTTTTAGAGATTTACTAATGCACCTTCATTGTTTTGTTTCTTAAAGCAACCAGTGACAAACTTTCTGCAAAGCTGACAAAAGATCTATTCTTAAATGTGTGGAAGACTCACATATTTCATTTCACTTTAGCTCTACATGATAAAGAAGCAGCTTATACTATTGAAGCAGGGAAAAACATTTCAAAATGGGACAGTGAAACTGCAAAATTTGGGTATTTTTGGTTGTTGATGGCTTGTGGGATTTTTTTGTTTTCTGTGGAGGCTTTTTTGTGTTTGGGTGTTTTTTTTAATTTCAAAGCAAAAGCATAAAAGCACAGCTCCTGCAGACAATGGATTCCTCACTGACACATGCTCCACCAACAATAAAGGTTTTTAGGCTGAACTCCCAATAACACTTCTCCAACTGCTCTTAAAAGCCCAAAAGAACTGCCAAGGAGGAAAATTTAGATGCCTGAGCACAGCTCCAGTGCCACCTTGTGTAACAGAGGATCTGACACATCTGCACAGCACTGTCACCTACAGGAGGAGATACAACCTTCTGGACTGGGACTGGATGTCTAAACTGGAAATGAATGTCTATCCTTAGGCACCTGAATCGCTGCCATAATCAGCAGCATCATCAGACCTACAGATTAGTTTCTGGATGACACCAGCTTTCCTAAAGGCTCAAAAGAACAGGTTTGGGTTTTTTATTATCTGAGAGAAAGAAGCTCAAGAATAGATTATTCTTGTACCTTCAATCTCATTGTGAGCTAAAAACATTATGACAGAAGATGGCAGCAGTGACACAATTAACAAAAACGAAATTAATAAAATATGGAAAGCTATGATACACTTAAGAATATCAATACCATTTTTCAGATTCCATTGGTTGCTTTGGCCTGTTCCTTGTGTTTACTGAAACTGAGTGATTAAGAAGCCTAGAAAGAAAAAAAATAGATATTTTAAACCTTTTTCTTAGAACATGTTACTTTCACTGCATAACATTTCCTGTAAATGAAAAGTTTTCAGCATTAATATCTTCCATAAAACTAAAATATGTGTACACATATGAAATTCATGCCCATTCTTGCTTCCATTTGAATCAACAATATTCTTTCTAGCTCTTGAACTATTTCAAGTTCTATATTTTAAGGAAGCAAAACTTGGTAATTCAAACCAAAATGAAGTTTCCTCTTATTTGTCTCCATAAATACAGATTATTTCAACAGATCTCACACCTGTGTAAAGTTATACTGCCCTCAACACAAAAAGCCCCATTGCTCACTAAAATTAAAAGACAACAGATAATCAGTCTAAAGCAGACCAGAAAGGATACACAGATTGAGCACAACAAAAGTCAGCCAGTAGGAGCAGGTCAGAAGGTATCTTAGTAAGAAACACTGCAAGTGCAAAGGAAATGCAGGGAAAAAGGAGAGCTGGAAAATGCAGAAACACAGACTAAAAACAAAAGAAAAGTCTAACACAGAAATGAACCAATGGAAATTTCATTTTTCTAAATGGTAGTGAGTAAAAAAAGCCTAAGTTTAGATTCAGAAGTGTTTTTTCATCTGAAACAAATACATACCACAGGTCTGTGTGCACAGGAAGATGATATGAGCTATTGTGGATGTTTTAAGTGTTAAAAGTAACAAAACCATCGCTAACACTTAAAACTAAACATTGAAAAGTAACTTGAATGAAAACGTCTGAGTTCTTGAAGGTAGTGATAGGACACTTCAACACTGACTTCATGTGCAGAACTGTGATCAAAGTATATTTAGGTCAAATTATAGAGAGAACTAGAATGGAATAAGAATCAGAAAGAATCAGAACACAACCAATTATGCAACAGAACAAAGTAACACATTAAGCACCTTTTTGTATTTCATTACCCTTACATAGGGCAGTAGAGTCATTAACTGTAAATGATTGATGATTTTTCAATCAAACTTCTCTGATTATTTGATAACTTTGAACTCAGCAATCCCATTTGCAGTTTAAATCTCTCACTGTGTGACCCTCAATGTAATGGGATTATGAGAAGTTAAGCCTGTAAACCAAGTCTGCTGTATTCAGTCTACAGCATCTGCTCCATATACTTGCTCTTCAGAAACTTAGTTTTGAGGGTGCATTCCAGAATTAAATTATATTATAGCCTGAGAAAACTGTTACAAAAAATAATATTCAGAGCATTGGTTATCAAACCAGCATATAAACATGCTATTTTAAAGTCATCATTTTTTAGAGAGAATCTCTGTTTAAACTAGCTTTATGTTCTGAGATGTTGTAGCAAAAGACCATTAAAATTAAAAAAGAAAAAAAAATTGACTCTGATGCAAAACTTGCACCAAAACTTACACTACAGTGTAAATGCAATGATTGTATGTAACACAGGCCATTCCTTTTTTAAACTCATTATAAGAAATGTGAGGAAAAACTATTCTAGCAAATTCAAACATATATATATAAACACACTTTTCATTTATATTTATATATAAACACACTGTCTCTATGCAGCATGTATATAATTAATGACTGAGTTTATTATGAACTAGGCTTATCATGAACGTGTTGATGGAGTATGCCAGGTGGTGATTACCATTTTTAAGATATAGCTTTAGTAATGGGAAAACTGCTTTGCAATGATTAGCAAAAGGTGACTTTGAACACTTGTTGTCTGTATGAAGAATTACAGTTCTTGGTCTCTCACTCCTGACATTCCACAACTGTTGCCTGGTGAGGGGCAAGGTAACTTCTAAAATACTTCCCTTTAACAGTATTTCATCCTAAAGAACAAAAAACGTATTGCAAACTATTTTTGCTAACAAACCCTTAGGCTAACTCAACCAATCCTTTTGCTCTGCTTTTCTTCTAGAAATGGCCCAAACTGTTCCTTTTGTCCCCATTTGAACCCTGGCAACCTGAGGCTCTACAAACCCTTTATACCTGGATGCACGTCCTGCCGCCCTTGTCCTCTGGAAGAGTTTCTCACTGAATGAAGTTCTATAGCTTAAGGGCCTTCGTCTGTATTCACATTTCATGGACACCAAAGCCAAAGACGGAAGGAGGAAGCAGGATAGGTTGATGGGAGAGGACAGGGAAGTCATTAGCATAGCAAGCAAAAAGAAAAGAGACTGCATAATATTACAAAGCACACACTGAACGAACAGAAACGTGATTAGTAAGGAATTATTTTGTGATGCTTAACTGTTCTGAGGATTCTGTTTACTGGTTGAACATATTTTCCACAAATAAACACAGGATCTTCACTAAATACTAAATATTATTCTTCTTGCTGTTTAAAAAACACGGATTCAAAAGCAGGGCTAAATTTTACATAGGGGTGATTCTGGCCCTGTGTACCTAACGACACTTAAGCAAATTTTAAAATATAAATGCTAAATTAAGAAGTAAAACAAGAACAAATAAGACTGCATACATCTGCATGATTCAAGACAAAGAACCATTAGCAACATCACTGCATTAAGACACAACAACATATGAGGAGTAAAATTTAAGTTGCAGCGCTTCAGAAGAGGAGTGGCTTGGAATTTCAAATGATTAGTTAACCAGGAAATATTTAATCAAACAAGACCCACATGCAACATAAATAACCATCACATAAAAACCTAAGATAAGAAAAACATGCTCATTCTCTCTTTAGTAATAAATTATTATGAGAAAATTTAGCATTCTTGGTCTTACTTGCAATACTTTTGGTAATAAGAATATATTAGCATTAAGATTTCATTCCTGTTTTACCCTTCTTTATGTGAACAACCAAATTTTGAATGCAGAGCATGGAGTTTTAAGTAAAGCCTATTATATATTTCACACACATACTACTGTTACTATATTTACCTAATATAAAATGCTGGTTAATTTTTAAAGCCCTGCAATTCATAGTATCAGGATCTCTGTTTCCCTGAGGGCTTCACATGTATTTCAACTCTCTTCAAAGAAAAATGGCAGTGCAGAGTCTCATAATTACACAGAAATCCCAAAGAAACAAAAATAGTATTTAAGGTGGTGTGAAGTTATATCCATTACTGTGGGATACAACTTTTAGCTCCCTTAAAAGACCTTACTCTCAAAGTGCCTCACAGTATTTGCCTGCTTGGTAAAGGAACCATACTGAACATTGTTCCTTATCCTCACCTGTCCACATCCTATGTAGCTCCAAATATTCCTTCCTGTTCTACATTTTACACAGTTGTTAACTTGTTCTACTACATTCCTTTAATCTGCTGCTTGTTCTGCAGCTCTTTTTCAAGCATCATTCTGTTGAGATGCCCAACACGAAGCAGAGAAAGGCAGGCAGTTGAAATGATTTATTTTTACATGTATTTATAACACAGACATACTGTCATTTGACAGAACAATGTTCAAACAAGTTTCCCCTTCAGTTCACAGGATATTTATAACTCACATCAGACCGAATGGAGGAAGTACCACCTAAACTAGCTTGTATTTGAATAAAAAGAACCAGTCACAAGCAAACTGTATGCAGGTTCTGTAATTCATACAATCTAAGAAAGTAATTTTAACATGTTACCAATGATCATGTTACCTGAGCATTAACCAGCCCACTTAAGCCTACTGCTTTGAAGAAAAAAAGTATAAAAAAAGTTAACATACATCAAATCAGGAAATCAAGACACTTTCACATTCATCTCTTCCTCTCCATAGGAGGTTTATCATTGCTTCTTTAGACAGTGATTTTATGAAAAGTAACACAGCACAGCCATTTGATAAAGTCAGATAAACTTTAACTGTTTAACAGCTGGACAAAACTGTTCTCAAGATAAGGTGTCGAGAGCTGCTGGGTAAAGAGAGGTTACAGAATAAATTAACACAAGTTATTTTAACTAATATTGTAATACCTGTGTTTTTGTTCTTGCTGGAGTAACTGGGCTGCTATTTTTCTCAAGTCAGTCACTTCTTTGAGTTCATCATCATCTTCAGCCAGCAGCTGTTCTTTCTGAAGCCTGAAAAATTAAATATCAGTGACCTGACTTCAGTGAAGCAAGACACAGAAATGCCTCGTTGTTGGACAAGTAAGCAGCACTGCCTTTAAGCTTATTTTCTGCCCAAGTACTTGGTGTTCAATATGAGATTTCTTTCTTCCATAGGAAGAAACTTAAAAGAAAACCACTCTCACCCCTGCCACCACCAGCAAAACCTACCCAAGAAGATCAAGATTTACCTTTTTTCATCTCCCCAGTCCTCATTCTGTTCTATTTTCTGGGATTTCTCAGGATGTTTTCCCCGTTCCTTACACAGAATGAAAAAAAAAAAAAATCCTTAGAATTGAATTAAGAAAAAATAAACCCAAGCTTTCTGAACAGTTTTTCTTTTGTCAATCTATGGTACCTTGACATAGGAGAGCAATGTGCCAATCTGTGCATCTCCCTGCTCAGGAAGAGCTCCCTCTTCTGCGTTTGGATCAATGTAGTCATAGGCCTCCTGGTCTAGTGAGGATTTGTGAAGAACAGAAAAGATATTAAACAGTTCTCTCGACCAAATGTTACTCCTAAGAGAGTTAAGCACTTATGAAAAATGTCAGATACAGATAAAACATAGAAATTGTGTCTCCTTAAGCTAGAAATCATCTTTTCTTTCTCTCTAGCCTTGTCTATTTGTGATTATTACATTGTTTTCTAAAATGATGAAAATACAATGCCAATCCATGATCATATAATTTTGTGCCATTTTCCTACATTATATTACCCAAGCAAAGTACCTCTGTTACCTAAAATGACAGATGCACAACAGGTATTACCTTTCTGTGGATCGAGTTTGCTTCCCATGACATGATTGTCATTCCTTAATGTCTGTTCCCTTGTTGATTCTGATACCTGGGAGTGAAGGCTGATTGTATCATCATCAGATGGCTGCAAAGACACTCACTTTTAGTACAGAACTGACATATAAATTATATTATTATATGGTTTAAACTCAACTGTACAGACACTCAAAGAATGTTAAATGCAACTTAGGAATTTCTCAACTGATACAAAATACAAAGGAAAGGTCTAAAACCCAGAAATTACAAACCCAGCTGAACAATACTCACTTCTGTTGTGGACAACCTTTTATCTCCATTATCACTTCCAATGCCAGAGTCTGGTCCATGATTTTTATTGGGATAAAAGTCCTCCATGCTACAGTAAGAAAAATAACACACAAAAACCCCACACAAGAATGAAAGAAACAGTAGTGTCCCTTTCTTAAAAGAAAACAAACATCCTTTTCAAAATATGCTCTCTATACTCAGCTACAGTTGTTGATACAGAATTTTTGCACAAGGGATAGTCAGTACAAAAATCCAACAAAACATCCCTCACTTTCTGACCTCAACTAAATTTAATAACTAAAACCCACAGTATTTCACAAATATTTTTTAAGTTTCCCTTAATATATATATATGGGAGAC